AGCCCATTAAAGAACACGATGGCGTCTTTAAATGTCAAAAGAAAGCCATGCTCGCAAAGCCGAGTGGATTCGCGAATTGTTTTCTGTCCACAGGAGCTTTTTGAGCCATGACAACACAAGCGCTGAATATGTGATCATTTAAAAACATTGCAACGGTGTTTCTTGTCAGCGCTCGACCAGCCAACATGAACAGAGAGCCTGCTTCTCACACCTGAGTCCCGCAAGCATGCTGTACCACTAAAAAAAAAGTGTATCTACCTACTGTTTGGGGACTGGAATGCTAATAAACTGATTACTGGCTCACCAGATGGCTCAAGTTGAAGGTCTGTTGCTTTTTTTACACGGCGTTTGTCATTCTTTCTCGCACTTTCTACAATCTACCGCAACACATTCTCTGCCTATGCCAGACATACGGTATACATCCTGTGTTTGAGTGTAAGCTGCCTAAACTTGTCAAATTTCCAACGCGTGGGCATTTCTCTGCCTCATAATGGTCGTGGCAGGCCAAAATTCACCTTCCTTGTGTTTCTCTTTCATCTAATCAAGGCATCGCCTGGCAACCCGTCAGGCTTTCCATTCCGTCTCCCTCTGGTGGTCATTGTTTTTATACGTCTCCTGGACGGCTTATGACTGGAAAGTGAATTTCCTCGCTCTGTACTCATGACATGTGCACTGACAAATTTCGATTCCATTCCATTATATTTGTCTGGTCGTCCTTAGGAAAAAGCAAAAACAAGTTGGAATCAAAGGAATCGGTGACAGGAATAGTAAGGACGGGGTAAGGGTGCATTTGCAAAGAGTTTGTTGTGGCATTTGGATATTTTGGAAGGGGGTGGGCGCGGTGGGGGGGCGAGACGCATCAGCCACTTTGAAATGCGGCGCCGCATGCGGCGATGTCGGCGCTTTACGAGTCTTGATGAGCCGGGAAGCAAGTGGCACCCCCTGCTGCACCACGTGTTGGCTGTGAAAGTCTCGGCAAAAAAAAAGTGGAGCTTGTGCGGAATGTGCGCAAGTGCGTGTGGTCCTCGTTGTGGAAATTGTCGCGAAGTGTGTCGCCGTTGTGTGTCAGTGGGTCAAACCGTCAACGTCATTGGAATGACAGATCCCACAGGGGCATGTTGGAGTCAACAGTTTGCTTTTGTTTTTGATCGGGATGTTATCTCCTCCCATTTCCTAGCTCCGCCCTATTCGTACCATCGGTGGTTCTAAAGAGATTTTGAACACACACTTGCTGAACCCCAGTGGAACGAAAAAAGACGCCGTGGACAAGACAGTTGTTGTCGTAAAAAATACATATTTGGCCAAAAAGGGAAACACAGAGATTGTCAGAGAAACGCATCCTGTCTGGATTCGAGCGTCGTGTCGGCTAGGCTAACTTAGCTGTTGTCGTTCAAAGCTTCTTTGATCTGTGACGTCGGTTGTGTCAGCGCTGATTGGTTGAAACCAAAAGACGCGCGTGCGTGCGCACATGTTCGCGCTTACGCACGCACGCACAGCAGAGGGCAGCGGACTATCGACTGCTGAGGTGCGCTTCACTCGAGTGGCGTCGCTACAGTTGCAGTAAGTGGCGCGATAAGAGCGGCTTCTATTTTCGGAACTTCAAAAGAAAAAGTGCAGCGTTCAGATTATAAGCATTCCATTTTAGTCCTTTGTTAGTCACCGGCATGAATCACGGCTCATTTGGAGGTGAGGATTCACCTTTTCCTCAAAACATGTTGAAGGCTAAGCACCATGAGAAATGCCTGCGCGCTTCAAGGAGACGAAAAGATGCGGCAAGATGGAAGACTGCGAGCCGCGATGCACAGCGTTGCTTTTCTTCAAATCACAACGACAACATTCGCTCATTCCGCTTTGCGTTTGCGACCGTCTTCGCTCATTAGCATGTTTTGCTCTTCGCTCATTAGCATGTTTTGCGTGCGCTCATTTCTGCCACCTACTGGTGGCAGATTTTCCACTTAACCTGATAGAAAACGCCTGCGGTCATGAATAACACATTTACTCTCAACCTCAGGCTGAGTATGACATGATCATTTTCCTGTGCAGGAATATGATAATAAGAGAAAAAAAAGAAGGGAAAATTACCCTTTGGGAAGTTGAGATGGGGTATGAATTTAAGGACTCTGAAGAGATAGAGAAAAGGAAGAGGATACGAAGAGAGAGGGGAAAAAAAAAAGCTGCTGCAGCAGTCAGTCGTGATTTGTGTTCCCTCCAGAATTGTGCTTGCCGGCAGCAAAGGGAGGGGAGCCTGTACTTATTCCTGCATCTCACATACCTGCGGTGGTGGGTGTGTGTGCGTGTGGGTGTGTGTGTGTGTGTGTGTGTGTGTGTGTGTGTGTGTGTGTGTGTGTGTGTGTGTGTGTGTGTGTGTGTGTGTGTGTGTGTGTGTGTGTCATATGCGCGTCAAGCTAATGGAGTGTTGATTGCCCGGCAGTGAGCAGGCATCAATGCGTAATTGGAGCTCTGCAGTGTAAGAGCTTTAAAACCAAGACTCTTCAAGTCCTCTAAGTACCCGTGTATGGCAAGCAAGCGAGATGTGGTGGTCGGCGTGACCTCTCCCGGTGCAGGCGGATCTATCACAAAACTATTGCTCGCTTTTGATGTCTCTCTTTTTCTCTCTCTCTAACAGCGTCATTTTGGCTTAGAATAGAGTTAACAAAGTGGATGTTAAGAGGAGACTTTCAGAAGAGGCTCTCTCCCCTTTGGTGAACCTCGCGCGTGTTGCCTGGCGACGAGGTTGCCAGGGAGCAAAGTTTTGATGAAGAGTCAAGAGCACAATCGCACAAGTCCGACCTTTTCTTCACATTGAAGAACACATTGTTGGGTATCAAATGGAAAGCATTGGAGTGGACAAACAAACTCATGATTCATGAAGCCCAGTGCCAGATGTAGCAAAGCAGCCCCAAAAATAAAACCAGTTATTCACAGAGGGGACGTTTTTGCATTATTTTGTGGCCCATTGTGGGTTTTTCCCCTTTTTACCACGGTGACTGCTCCCCGAGTTTGGATCCAATCTTGATTCCACGCGCATTGGACTTTCATTTTATCTTTAACCATCATTACCTGTATTTTTAGCCTTTCAAAAAAATGCCCTGCACATTTTCAGCCTGGACTAATATATTCAGCGGCACCGGGTTATATTCAAAGCATTTCAAATTCAAAGAGGGGAATAGGCCGAGAAATTTGCCTCAAAGCAGATTGCCTGCTGCCTTGCTTCATTACCAACGGTGGCACGCTCGAGATCAAGCGCAGACTGATGTAAAAAAAAAAAAAAAAGCCAGCGTGGAAAACGGAGGCTTCCGCCAAGGCTAATAGCCCGCTCGTTAAGTGGACATACGCTACTACACGATTAATGGACAGCAACTGAGAAAGCCAACATGGAGGAATATGTTCACGAAAAAAAGTTAGGAGAGGCTGCTGCATCCAGGAATGAAAGCTGCATATTATCTAGAAAGATAGATATAGCCATACAAGTATTATGTCTTTTGAAAAACCCATTCACTGTGCGCCCACTTCCCACATCCATCACAAGTTTCGATTGGTTCCAAGAACGCGACTGGCAACGAGCTCATCCCGGTGCCGCAAGTCTTTCACATTGCAACAGCGCAATAACACCAATTGAACATTTACACACCCCCACCCCTCGGAATCTTGTGGAAAATAGTCCCCCTTTGAGTGCCGCGGCCGTCCCAAGCACCCGCCTGCAGCGGCAAGAACAGTTGCTTGCATACAGAGAGGTGGTTTTGCTAATGCCAGACTCTCCCGGGAGGCCTCGCAATTCAAACTGATGTTCCTCTTGTCTCAAAATCTGCATTTTTCATCTGCTGGAGGCCCTGCTGGATGATCCATCGCCACCTCCCTCACTCGCTCGCTCCTCCACTCCAACGGTATTTATTTCTCCTCCCTAGGCCAGACAGATGGGAGTGTTGGGGAATAAAAGCGTCAGTATTTACTATATTATTTACTGGCCTTGGTGTTTGCCCCTTTAGCAGGACAAAACACCTGCGTCTCCTTCTCCTCAGCTTACCTGTGCCGTTTCGGATTTATGTTCAACAGCGATCCTGTGCGAGACATTTATGAGCTCGATCAAACATGTGTGAGTGCTGCTATACGTCACGCCAGTCATAAAAGTGTATTCAATGCTTGGACATTTTCGACTGAAACTGATCAGTTCAGTCCAAATACAGATTTTCCCACTCAGTTTGGTGCACTTTGCTGCCATTTAATGGGTGTGGTGCACTGGGAACATCAGGTTTTCATATGTAAGGAAACAATATCTTCGAGTAGACAAAGCATCATGAGCAACCCCTCGTGTCGCTGATGGTGTAGTGGTACACTTGCTTGACTTCTGTGCGGGCAGCGTGGGATCGGTTCCCATCCAGTGGCGGTGTGGATGTGGGTGTGAATGGTTGTGTTTCTCTATATGTGGCCTGCGAGTGACTGGCAACCATTTCAGGGTGTGGTCTGCCTTCCGCTCGGAGTCACCTGAGATAGGCTCCAGCTACATATAGATACACACACACACACACACACACACACACACACACACACACACACACACACACACACACACACACACACACTTTTCAAGTAAGCCAGCCAGCCAGCTAGCTGGTTAGCTAGTCAGCTAGCCAATTAGCTAGCCACCTAGCCGGTTAGCTAACTAGCTAGCTCGATAGATAGAGTAGACAAAGCGTCTTTAGTAACCTCAAATCAATTGTCTCAAGGGCTGAAGAAGGTAGTGGGTGGGTTTTGTTTTCATGAGGTCAACTTTGTGTTTTTTTGTGTGTGTAATTACAGGCAGATTAAGGATGTGTGGGGGGGGTGCTTCTGGAGAAGTCTTTGATGGAATTAAGGGCTCATTTATTCCATTAATCTGTCACCACACTGTTAAGGTGCTAAAGGCACAAGTCAGGAGTGCAAGCTATTTTATTTTAAAAATCGTGGTGTGATGTGATTTAAAATATTTGGAGAGCGTTCCAAAAGGAAAGGATCCACTTCACTACTCTAACCTGTACTTGGGTTTTGAGTCCCTCCTGTCGTGCAATAGAAATTCTGCACTTATCTATATTTGCCATGCAGGCCGTCATATTCGGGTCTACTTGGCGAGACAGCAATGCGAAATGAAGGCAATCATATCAGTCCGTGCAGTCGGTAGTTCACTGTCAGTGTGATCTCCGGTACATTATGACGGTGGCAAAGTATCATCAGCAAGCGCTAAATTTCTTAATTTGCTCTGATTGGGACCTATTATGGCAAAATGAAGTGGAGTTAGCAGGCAGGCAACGAGGAGCCACGGGAGCGTGCGCCGCAACCATGGCAACCACCAACCAACAGAGGGAAGGAAAAAAAAAAAGCCTCACCTGAGTGCGTGTTTGTGGACGACGGAATAATTTACAGCGGCAGAGCCATTTTTCAGTATCCAGAGATTGTAACGTGACGGGAAGGAAAGGAGTCAGTTGCCAAGCCTGGGTCGTTTAAGGGTGGCCAATCATCCAATTATCTGGATAAAACAGGTGGCACCTCATTGGGAAAGCTCATTAAAATGGCATTCAATCATGGCTCCTTGCCGCCACTGCAAATGAAAGCGCATTTGCGAGTTGCCCTGTTGAAATTCTTCAAATAGAGTCAGCCTTGCCGTGGGAGAGGCTCTGCCTGATGCTGAGTAATTGGACGGTAGCATCTCATCCAGTCACCGTTTGCTCGTTCTCCCCGCCGCACAATCCTTAGTGGACTGCATAAATGGACCGAGTCCAGCCTTTGTCAACAGAGCACAACATCCCATCTGTTCTGCTGCCGTCTTTTAATGTGCGTCTTTTTTATTTCTTTATTTTGCCAAGCTTACAAAATGGCACCGGCTTCATTGTGGTCGTTTATGATGTGTGAAAGTTCAGCGGGATTTTATGGACAAAAAAGGTAGTACCTGAAACAAAGGCTCGGGTGTTGTTTGTGTTTCTTTTTTTCCCCCGCGAGTGCAAATGATGGATAAAAACAAAGGTCAAATTGTTGCTTTATCTTGCAAGGCACCATAAGTCATGATAGCCGCATGGTGCAATGCAACACTTATTGAGCTGCTACTGCTCCCCGCTCCAAAAAAAAAAAAAAAAAAAGGATTGATGGCATTGAGCGTCAACTTGTTACGCCCGTGAGCGGAGAACAGAAATTGTCAGATTAGAATAGATTTGGGGCCCTCAAACATTTGAATTACGCTTCTTCAACGTCATCATCAGTGTGCCATTGATCTCTTGTGGGTGGTTCGCGATGGCCTTTCTCACACAAGGCAGCGAGCGGGGCAGCCTTTTCATTCGCCAGAATGTCAAGTAATTCTCCGCGACAGCAGCGAGCCGACGCCATCGCGGCCCGTCACAAACACTCTGCGCCTTCGCCGCTGAGGCCGTCGCAGCCCAAAGTCGATTCTCGCCAAAAAGAAACCAGAGTGGAGGAGGGTGGGGGGGCATGTGATTCAAATGTAAATGAGCTGTATTTGTTGCTGCTCTTTTTAGCGGGTCACACGAGCACCCACCCAAAAAAGCTACATTTTTGCATTTGTGTTTTGTGATAAGAAAAAAAATAGCACAAGAGATTGTAAAGAATTTAAGCATCTGTGCATCCGCAATTTGATTTTGCTTCCCCTTTTGTTGCCCATTTTGGCCACCGGGAGGCAGTATAGCACAGCCATGCAGACATCAATGATAGTCATTTTTCATCGAGGATAAAGAATATATGCTTGGGTGTACTGTTATATTTTCTGCTTAAGGTGTTCAAAAATCGCAACTATCCACGCGAATGTTGCCAATAGCTTTTTTCAGTCTAGACTAGCAGGCCTTCAAGGCATTGATGTATTTCGTTTGTGACACCAGTTCTGGAACTTTTCTGAAACAGCTCGTATCACACTTCGCCGGCACTGAGCAGAAAATAAATGCCATCTTGGGACCGCTGCATTAAAGGCTGTCATTGTTCCACATTTTCTCCTCATGGTTAACATCTCTCTAACTCCCATTTGAAATTCCATCAGCTCGTGGCGTCAAAAACCTGAAACTGTGTTAGGATGGGATGGCAGGTTGGAACCAAGAGAAGCAAAATAGATCAATACTTAATTTTCTCGCCAAGAGATATGTTCAGGTGCTAATCGGGAGCGAGTGGAAAAGATGACATGCGGAACGGTGGTTCGGTGTGGCCTTTTTTTTTTTTTTTTTTTTTTTTTTTTTTTTTTAATATAGCAGACGATCCATCACTCTACAGATGGGAGGATTTGCTCAAAAGACACTTGTCTCGGTGAGAATTTTCCACAACACTCCCCATAATGTCTTCCTCTCGTACTGAAGGAGAATAAAAAAAAAAAGGTGCACCAAAAGGTTATTCAAGGTTATTCCGGCCGCGTAGCGAGCTAATCAAGCTGTCCGGCCGCCGCTCGGGGATGCGCGCGTGCTCATGGCTCACGCGCACGGCCCGAACGCAAGCAGACAAGACGCCCCCTGCTTCTTCCAGTCAAGTTAGAGCCCCACACAGACACACGAGTGCATATGCAGCTCCCCACAAAGTGGGAATTAATTAATACTGACACCGCAGCCAGTGGTGTGTGTGCGCGGGTGTGGAGCGAGGAGCACGAGTGGTCATTAAATATTATGCAAGGCCTATACCCACACAGTGAAGCCAATCTCCCTCTCAATGTCACCTAGAAAATCTTAAGAAGCCCTCAATTATCTTATTCGCCGGAGCTTATGGGCGCTAATGAAGGAAGCATGCAGAGGAAATTAGCTTCAGTGCGGGAAATGGGGAAAAATGGGCACAGATTTTATGGAAGAACGGCCAAAGAGCGGCGTCGGCGTTCTTCCACCCTCTCGTCAAAGTTTGCGTCGTGGTTTGGAGAACGAGAATTTGTAGAGCTCAAGTGTAGGTGATGCAGCATCCCCATGGCAACGGCGGAGACGCTGTTGTCCTCACATCAAAGTCGCTGTGAGCCACTCGTATGCTGCCGGGGATGGCCTTGAATGGATTGAAGTTTCCTCCTCAGCCTCTCGCTCCTGCAGGCAGGCAGCCGCAGTCTTGAGCAAAGTGACGTGATGGTTATAATTGGCTGCCCTCTGCCACAAATCGGATCACACAACCAACGCTGGGAGTGCTCCGGCCATTGCCCTTAATCCCCCTCTTCCAAAAAAAAATCACAGACAAGAGGGAGCAACAGTCACACAAAAGCGGTTGCAAGTTGATATTTGAGTTCCACCAAGCGCAAAAAGATTGGAAAATGAACATTAAGCGTCAAGAATTCTTTGTGACGCCCCCCCCCTGAGCCAGCTTGTGTACATCACCCGATGAGATCTTTGCACCTGTGAGCAATTGACTCGAAATTGCACAGACCAGTCAGACAATCCATCGACCCTCCATTCCGCAGCAGGGGTCACGCTTGACGGGGTCTTTTATTACCTCAAATTAGGCTTGTGCATGTGTGTGTGTGTGTGTGTGTGTGTGTCCCTCAGAGGAGAGCATTCATCTCTTTGTCCATTTGTTGCTCTCGTCCCGTTAATTGACTTATTTGGACCTGCAGCGGGTTGTTTGGACAGATAGCGCTGCCTCGGGCAACCGCACAAATAACTTCTTCTGCACATTAGTTACAAATGACCAACGCGGGTTGAGGTCAGAGGGCAGGAAATCAGCATTACAATAAATGATGAGTTTACAGTGTTGAAACTAAAAGCAAGATTGGAACGTAGCTTTCCTTCGCAAACCCCTCGTTTGCCATTCCCCAAACATGGCCATTCTTGAGGGTATTCTGAACGCGTGTAATGATAAATTGTCCGCGGAAAATGCATGTCCATCTTCAACAAAATAGCAGTGCTAGCAATCATAAAGCTAGCTTTAAACAAGCCAACATTAGCCACAGCTGCTAGGTTGGTGGCGCTACTTAAAATGTGTTGTTACTGTAACACGGAATGTTACGAAATGCAGGCTGGGGTCAGAGAACCGCAAATATATAAGGAGTCCAATAAATCGGGAGTTTACAGTATCAAAACTGCTAGCAAGACTTGAGTGTAGCCTCACTTCGCCATTCATGAAGGCCTTATGAAAGTATGTCATGACAAATTGTCACAGAAAAAGCATATCCAGCAACAACATGATAGCAGTTCGCGTACTGTAAACAAGACAACGTTGGCCACGGTTGCTACTAGCGTGACGTATTCGTAATGTACTGTGACTATACACTGACTGTATAGAGTTTGATTATTTTGGGGGTGGGCACTTCTAATCAATTAAAAACAACAACAACAAAAAAGAGGTGATAAGCGTACTTGTCAAGATGAAATGATGCTAATTCCAAGCCGCTCCTGAATCCTTTCAGCGGCTCACAATCAATAGTTATCTAACCTAAACTAATTGAAATGAAATACACGCAACTCACCAGAGATGGTTATTAGTCACGGACATCCTCTTGTGCTCCATAGAGATAGATAGTTTTGGGTAGTCACTACTTGTTGCCTCGCTGGAAGTGCAGAAGAAATAAATATTCCTTTCTTGGGTTAAAACAAGCACAGATTCAATCCTCACAATGTCCACTCAATCTTGAAAAGCCTGCCATGGAACTTGTTGGGTTTTTTTTTTTTGTTCTGTTTTTTTAAGGCTCAGTATTTATCTTTGTGAATACGTGCCATCTCCACCTTTAAACCAGGACGACATTCGAAAGTAATTTGATCTATTCCTATTCCTTTTCGGGTTTTTTTTTGTTTTGTCTTGGTTTGGGTTTTTTTGCGGCTTTGCAAAACTCTTGTAAGGATAAAGCAGATCGGAAAACGGATGGATAGAAGTCAGCGCCGCGATCATACGCTCGCTGATTGAACAGTTCTCTCATTTTCCTTGCTAACCTGTCAATAAGTGCACACGCATGTAAATCACAGCTCCTTTAGGTGTACTTTAAATCTATATATTGATAGACAGACATGAAGTGGAGCTGCGGGGCAGTGCGGGGTCAACTGCTCAAAATAGATTTCAAGCGTCCCGCAGCTCATTTGCAA